ATCAGGACTTCCTTTTAGAAGCATTATGAGGGGAGCAGACCCACATAGTAAGACTAAGAAAGTGTGTTATAGTCTCTACTCCCCAGAAGTCATTTTTCCCAAGGTCAGAAATTTGGATAAAGCTGTCTATTCCCTGGGGGACATGAGGAAAGTTCCTGCTTGATAAAGCAGTCATTCTTTCTATCTCTATCAAGAAGAATTGTGGCCCTCTCATTATGCCTGGTGCCTATTGTCAAGGTCAAGGCTACATTCCTCAACTCCTGATCTCAAGCCACACCCCAGCTCACATGTCCCTCGTCTCCAGTTTAATCCTACGTACAACTACACAGTTTAGAAGGTTAGTCTTTTTTCAATAAAGGCTGCTGGCAGATATCCCAATTCACTCTCAGATCCTGTCTGCCCCTCCCCAACTCTATACATTCTCTTTGGGACCTGACCATCGCCCAGTGACCCCCTCCCCAAACAGGTCTCCAGCGTCTTCCTTCCTTCCTGCATCCATTCTTGCTCCCTTCCAACTCATTGCTCCAAATAAAAATCTTTTCGTGATGCTTTCCATTTTTAAAAAATTTTATTTATTTCTATTTTATGTATAGAAGTGTTTTGCCTGCATGTATGCATAGGCACCACATACACCCCTAGTGCCCAAAGAGGCAATAAGAGGACAGAGGGAAGATCCCGGTGAATCTGGAGTTACAGTTAGGAGCCACCCTGTGAGTGCTGGGAAGTAACCCCGGTTCCTTTGCAGAGTTCCCTTTAACCACCAGGTTATCTGTTCGGTCCCCACGCCATCTAGTTTTAAAGGTATTTCCCTTTATAAAGATAAAGCCTGAAACCATTACAGAGATGTCTAAATCCTGGTGCAGTCTGCCCGCAGCTTAAACTTTTCCTCTCATTTCCTACTTGTCCCATCCTTACCACCCCTGCTCACTCAGGCTCAATGAATCCTTTCAGCTCTTGCAATTGGAAAAGGACTTTCTTTTCTTAGAAAATCCGCACCTATTGTTCTTGGCACCTGGGAGAAGCCTGTGCCTCTCTGCTGTGAATTCTTGGAGTCTTCCATCCTTCTCTGCATCAGATGGACGTACATTCAGCTGTGCACACAGCCTACTCAGTGGAGATGGTTCCGGCCACAAGGACATCTCATGCCACTTGTATCCTGTCACAGAGTCTGAAAATGGGTATTTTCGGGGTTGTCACAACATTTCAAAGTTATTACCCAAGCGCAAGACTTTTCTCCTTTCTTTTCTTGACACTGTGGACAGACAGGTTGGCGTTTTAATCTAAGGTCATTGCCTTATGTTCACGAGGTGGCTGCCAGAGGTTTGTATCTCTGGTTCTAATGCCACTGCACCCAAATGAGAAAGGAGGGGAGAATTTCCATCTCATAGCCATCATTTTATCAGAGACCCAAAACCTTCACTGAATTGCCCTACATAGAATAGGCCAGACCTATGACATATGAACCAAAAAGGATGCTATTTGGTGGGTATCGGGGATGACAAGAAGAGAATGTAATAGCCCCTGCACTCACAACAAAAGCATCCTATCAAAACATCAATCACAGAGGTGACTCAGTGGTTAAAGTGTTTCCTGCACAAGTACGAGGACCTCAGTTCAAATCTCCAGCATCCACATAAAAGCCAGGTACAGTGGCACACACCAGTAATCCCAGCATTGTTGGGGGGGGGTTACTGGTGAAGCTCAGAGGCTCCCTGGCCAGCTGGTGTCTTGGAAACAGTGAACTCTGGGTTCTGTGAGAGATACTATCTCAAACAATAAGGTATACAAGCAATTAAATAGCACATTCTGTTCCCAATCTCTGTCCTCCTCATACTACTGCATGGTTAGTACACATGCACACATGTGTGTATATATCAACACACATACACAGAGGTAAACATACCTATTCTATGGTTGTCTTCTCTGCACATTTATAAACTCACTGACCGTGGGAAAAGTCTCTCACTCACTGCCCAGTTCCTGGAGTGAGCACAGTGAAGGGCCTATCTGGGTCAGTCAAGTTAACTGGAGAGTCTAAATGGATGACTATGAAGTAGAACAACAAACAGAAAGCAGGTGGAAATATGACAGAGCCCTCAACAACCAACATTCAGGAAATGATTGCCATTTCTCTCATCTCATGGCTGGCCTTTCTACTCCATTTAAATAAAAAACGAGTTTTTCCTCAAGAAAACTTGAACAATTGCTTTGAGTACTCAATTCCTTGCACAGTGAATGCAGCTCTGTTAACCTGCCAGTCATTCTTTGTGAGCAGGCACTGTTGTTATCATTGAAATTTAGTTAAGAATTCATTTTAACAACTTAAAGATGTAACCCTTGTTAATGAGGCATATGATTCAGAAGGCTTGTCATTGTCTACTTACATAAATGTGAGCCATTTCTTGGGTAGGTCACTCAAATATGATTGGAGAAGAAAGAACTGAGCAGCTATGAAGTTATATAAGGAAGACTGAGAACTTTCTGTCTAAATTTTCCATTGCTGAGAGCATCACTCCAACAGATAGTTTGTCATTCAGGTCGGATGAGGAGGGAGAAAGAAAATGCCAAATGCCTGGTACACAGTGTGCATCTGGACTGTTCTGTCACTGAATCTAGTCCAAAAGGAAGTTGAATTTACACCTATTTCTATCATGTCCTAAATATGCATCTGTGAGTAACTTCAGTGTGTTCTCTGACTCAAAATGGCATGGCATGGCAGTCTTAAATTACCTCCAGTTCTAAATACAGTCAATTCACAGTTTTAAAACTTAAACCAAAAAGGTTAAATGGTATTGAATAGTCACCTGTAACCAACTTGTGAAGAAAACTAACCTATGAACACTGTTAATTCTAATCAACCTGTGAATACAGTTAACTACAACCAACCTGCGAATACAGTCAACTACAACAAACCTGTGAATACAGTCAACTACAACAAACCTGCAAATACAGTCAACTACAACCAACCTGCGAATACAGTCAACTACAACAAATCTGTGAATACAGTCAACTACAACAAACCTGCGAATACAGTCAACTACAACCAACCTGCGAATACAGTCAACTACAACCAACCTGCGAATACAGTCAACTACAACCAACCTGCGAATACAGTTAACTCTAATCAGCCTGTGAAAATAGTCAACTACAACCAACCTGTGAATACAGTCAACTACAACCAACCTGCGAATACAGTCAACTACAACCAACCTGCGAATACAGTCAACTACAACCAACCTGCGAATACAGTTAACTCTAATCAGCCTGTGAAAATAGTCAACTACAACCAACCTGTGAATACAGTCAACTACAACCAACCTGCGAATACAGTCAACTACAACAAACCTGCAAATACAGTCAACTACAACCAACCTGTGAATACAGTCAACTACAACAAATCTGTGAATACAGTCAACTACAACCAACCTGTGAATACAGTCAACTACAACCAACCTGCGAATACAGTCAACTACAACAAACCTGCAAATACAGTCAACTACAACCAACCTGCGAATACAGTTAACTCTAATCAGCCTGTGAAAATAGTCAACTACAACCAACCTGTGAATACAGTCAACTACAACCAACCTGTGAATACAGTCAACTACAACAAACCTGCGAATACAGTCAACTACAACCAACCTGTGAATACAGTCAACTACAACAAACCTGCAAATACAGTCAACTACAACTAACCTGCGAATACAGTCAACTACAACCAACCTGCGAATACAGTCAACTACAACAAACCTGCAAATACAGTCAACTACAACAAACCTGCGAATACAGTCAACTACAACCAACCTGCAAATACAGTCAACTACAACCAACCTGTGAATACAGTCAACTACAACAAACCTGCGAATACAGTCAACTACAACCAACCTGTGAATACAGTCAACTACAACCAACCTGCGAATACAGTCAACTTTAATCAACCTGGGAATACAGTACCTATAATATGTGAACACTGTCAACTCTAATCAACCTGCAAAGATAGTTAACTATAACCAGCTTGTGAATACAGTCAACTATAACCAACCTAACAAAACACTTGGAGGCAGATCAGATCCCTGATAGTAGCTACTCCTGTAGATGCAAAATCTTGTCATAGTTTTGGATGGACACTCTGCTTGGCCATGTCAAAACACACAGGGTGCTAGCATACAAAAATCACATTTACTTGCTTTTTTTAAAAAAAGTCATTTAAATATCTCTACAGGCAGGAGTAAAACTTCGAGTTTTAAATATGTTTTCAATTGCAATAAAACTCCTTAAAAAAAACAGAAATGATTTTCAGATTGGCAAAGGGAGTCCCCTCTGATGTAAACAGATGGCTGGGAAAGATCACCCACATGCTGAACACAGATCTTGAGGAGGCATTTCTAAGAATGAAGTAGCACTTCTCAGCCTGGGCCACTTCCCACAGGATCCTCATTTAACCCACAAGAAGCATGTGGCTTATGCCTCTGGCCGAGAGGAGCTCAGCAGCCCCTGCCCCATTTGCCTCCAGACGAGCATCCAACTCTTCCCTCATGCTCTAAAGTGAGTGTGTGCGAGCCATCCCCATCAAGCCAGCATTTACGACCAGTCCTTAACTAATATCCTCCCATAGACACAGACTGCTAAGCCCCAGCCCAGATAATGTGTGACACACATCTGTTCCACTTTCCCAGTGAACAGAAACTTTGAGATGACTTAAATCCCAGACTCGACCAATGAGAGATGGGGGGGAAAACAATATTTAATACCAGTTTAAAAATATAATCCAAATGAGGGTATAAGAGTCCATTTTGCCCTAGCTAGTAAGACTATACAATGCTTCAATCAAATTCACTAAGCTACCGGGGAAGAAATATGATTTTTTATCTGAGTCTATTTATTTTTCATTTCAAGGTCATCTTATTTGTCTAAGATAGCAAGGATGAGCAACTATGTAGCTTCCAAAAACCCAGGGTTTGAATGCAGTGGATTCCTGAAGCACACAGGGTGAGACTTACAGATTTGTCCTTGACTAGTAGAGCAGAGCACTGGATTCCAGCCATCAGCATCTTGTGTGGGTTCCAGGCCACCGAGTCAGCCCTGTTGTGTCAGAGAAAGAGAGCTCAGGGGTCGGAGAGATGGCTCAGCCATTAAAGGCTAGGCTTGTTGGGGAAGTCTTATGCTAATAAAGCACTGTCTGGCCAATAGGAATCTAGATAGGTGGGGCTAGGAATCCAGGAGGATTCTGGGTAGGAGAAACACAGGAGAGTCAACATGTGACGCCATGGGGGTAGGAGGCCGGGAACTATTCTCCGGTAAGAGAAATACTTAGATTAACAATTATGGGGTAATTATTTAAGGCAGAGCTAGCCAGTAAGGGACAAGCAAGGCCAACAGCTTCATAATTAATATAGCCTCCTGTGTGTTTATTTGGGACTCATGCGGATCTCGAAACAGGCTCGCGCGGCAGAGCCCAGGCGACTGGCAGGGGATAAACCAAAGCGGCTAGCAAGGAAAAAGCTTCTCTTAACATAAGGCTCACAACCAAAAATGTAAGAGAGCTCAGAGAAGGGCCTGGCTAACTGCTGTAGGGAGAAGGGAAACACTAATGAGGCCCCCTGTACAAGTTACCAATCCGTGGGGGTCCACATCTAAGGGATGGGAAAAATAATCTGGGGAGTGTTTTGTTTCAGAAAAATGGAGTGTGGTGGGGGGGCGGGGACTAGACGTTCAACTTGGGCATCATTCCTCAGGACACCATGCACCCTTTTGGATTTTGTGTCTTTTGGGTTTTGTTTGTTTGTTTTTGCTTTCGCTTTTATTTGAGACAGGGTTTCTCTGTATTGTTTTGGAGGTTGTCCTGGAATTAGCTAGGCCAGGCTGGCCTCGAACTCACAGAGATCCGCCTGCCTCTGCCTCCCGAGTTCTGGGATGAAAGGCGTGTGCCACCCACGCCTGGCACCCTTTTGGATTTTTCAGTCCATTGTTGACCTTGAGCCTAGGTTGGCAGAGAAGCGAGTCCCTGGGATCAGCCAATGCCTGCTTCTCCCGCACTGGGATTACAGATGTGTGTTACCACACTTGGCAGTTTTTTATGTGGGTCCTGGGGACAAACTCAGGCCCTTTTGTAAGTACGTCATTGACTGAGTTATCTCCCCAACACTCATGGTCGTTTTCTTTTTCTTTTCTTTTTCTTTTTCTTTTTTTTTTTTTTTTTTGGTTTTTCGAGGCAGGGTTTCTCTGTTTTCTAAAGGTCACTCAGATAGAGACATGCCAACAATTGTTTATTTTCCCTAAATAAAAGTCAACTGCAAAACAGGGAAACAAATTTACCTGTGGATCCCATGCAGGAGCTGACGGTACTTTCTTGACACCAAAGCTGAACCACCCCAAGAGGCCTGTTGAGATATTTAGATGCCCAAAAGTTAATGTCTGTGCCATTTGCTTACCCATGAAGTACCCTAGCAAGCTCACACATGTGTCATCTGGTACTTCATCTGATTTCATGTTCACCAGTTTTAACTCTGGGGAATTGATGAGGCACTCTAACCTGGCGATTAGAACCCCAGTACAGTAGATGGGTCCCCACTGGCTCATGGATGTGAAGTCACACAAAAAGGGGGTATATTAATAGCTAGTTGAGCTTTGTGTGGACCAAAAAAAACACAGATTAAAGAGAAGCAGCCCATATCCTTTCGATGCTGCGTATCTAGAACAGATGGCATCTTCACAGTGAGACATGAACAGTGAGTCATGAACCAAAGGCCAGGGTTCTATGTGATGAAAGACAACATGGTTGGCAAAGTGGTTAGAAGGTCAGCAGGGATCAGGTAGGAGGAGACGTATCCTCTCAGGAAACTTAGATCTTTTGGGCCTTACTGGTTCTGGGAAATATTTGCAAACATAATATGGGAGGACAAGAGAGAGGAAGCCCCAAACTTCAGTGAGTTAACTTATTGGAGAGACAACTTCATGAGTGCCAGAGAATGGAACAGAGGTAAAGAACAGGAATGGGAAAGTCTCATGGGAAGGGGTCAGGAAGGAAAGTCTCATGGGAAGGGGTCAGGAAGGAAGGGAGGAGGAATCCAAAGAGAGCATGCAAGAGTTAATCTGGTTCTTGACAATTGTACAGGACAACACAGGGTGAGACTGCAGGGAGAGACTCCGGAGGCACATGACCCTGAGCCCTGTTGATGCTCTGAGATTCTCATGAAATTTCACAGCATTCTGCGAAGGGCAGAGACAGGACCGTCTCCACTTTCACCCAAAAACTAAGGTTCAGAAGTGCTGGGTAGATTGTCTGGAGTATCATGGGTAAGCAAAATCAGATTGAGGGTCCCAAACCCATTCTCTTTACCCGATATCATCACCGTTTAGTCAAAGTGATCATTTGGCCAAATTAGAGAGTATGACAAGAGGATTTAAGAGGAATGGGGATGTTTCAGGCAGCATTTGAGCTCAAGGCTGCCTAGCAGGCAAACACTATTTTCTTTCAATAGTAAGTCTAAAGGTGAGTAGATGCCATGTTTAGAAAGCAGCAGGATTGCATGCACTCGGGCAGTGGAGTAGAAGGTAGAAGATGAGACACTCTTACAACTCTTGGAGTACTGCTAAAGCTGCCTTGGTAGCCAAGATAGTAGAGCACCAGCCACTCTATGGCCTTATATCCCTTCCAGAGTAACTCTTCCATTCAGGGCAGGGGCAAAGGTGAGGCTAGTGAGTATAAGCTTGAGGATGAACTTACTCCAGCATCAGACTCCCACGCAACCCTGAGTAAGCATATGGTCAAGACCCTGGACCATCAGTGGAATCCTATTAGTTCCCACCCTGATTCAACAAAATCCCCAAAGACTCCATGACATCTGGTGTTTCCTGAATTTTTGTGGTTGCCAAAATTCCCAGGCAGAGAATTAATAAATTGGGGTTGCCACTTAGTGTCCTTTCTATCACCGTCCCCATACTGCCACATCCCACAGGCTTTACAAAGACCAGATTGGACTGAGGCAGGAAGCAAGCAGGACATATTGGTCAGAAGCCTTTCTGCTCCCATGCAGTTAACCGGCACTCATACCTTTCCCTTCATACAATCCCCGACTCTTCTTCACATCGAGAAATACCTCCCAACCCTCCTGAGCCATATTTACATTTACAGTAATGACAATTCTTCTGTAAGTTCATTAAGTCATTGGGCAGGATAGGAAGAATCCATGAACAATTTTATTTCTCAATAGATTTAAAAGGAGAAAAAAAAAACACTGCTAATGGCAGGGCCCTACTTCTCCTTAGCTGCCTTTCTCAATTCCTAATTCTAGGAGCTGCAACATAAAACCACTCTTCTGGTGAAGGAGCTAGACTTTCCACCCCGGTAAATACCGTTATTGAGTTCTCAGTACATGCTAGGCATCACAAGCTATTTCTCCCTTATTGACTGGTCGATAAATAGATAGAGCTAACCTTGAAAAACGAGTGGAGGCAAAAGCAGAACCAAGATTTGTCAGCCTCCAAAGCCCATGAATTTAAAGATAATACAGGTTGGTAGAGTGCTTGTCTGTGGTTCATGAGGCTCTGAGTTCAATCCCCTGCACTATGTAAGTAGAGAGTAATAGCATATGCCTGTAATCCCAGCACCTGGGATGTGGGGACAGGAAGATGAAGGATTGTTAAGGTCATCTTTGCATACATAGCAAGTTCATGAGACCTTATTTAGAAAATAGAGAAAGCTAGAATGCTTATATGCTCCTGTGGGAATCGTGGTAACTGGTGGGAAGGAGGGGGAAGCTCTGCTGGGAGCCTGAGGGGTAGAAGTGGGGGCCACCAGCCCCCACTTCAGAGGTGACCAGCCTTCAGGGAGTCTCACATTCATTCCTCCAGAGGAAGAATGGGAGGAGACATCCACAGAACTGGAATGGATTTAATTCTGTTAAAAATGTATCAGAAATCAAAACAACCATGGTAACTTTTAATATTAATGAACTGTGTATAGTATACTAAGTTTCCTAAAGATAAGTTACATTCTATGGTAATCAAACTGTCCAATGGATTATACACCTGCCACAATAAAGGGTGAGTAAATACTGTCTTCATATTAGGATATGTTTGTTTCTTTTATTCCATATGGCTCATCTATTCAGAGAGGCTGTTGTCAAATTCAATCTAATATAATGCTCATGGCTAAATGTTTACTGTGTGCAAACAGAATAAGCAGGTGTAGCTTATATATTATCTTAATAAAGTATTTTCTTCAAAATTTAACTCTAACTAAAAAAACTAAACAAACATCTTTTTGTTCATATTTATAAATTAAAATTCTAACCAAGCCATACAAGTCTCTTCAGATCATTTCTAATTTCAAAGCTACTGTAGCTATGTTCTACATAAACTTATAACTGTATTGATGTTTCTCTTGAGAGTGAAGTATTTAAGAAGAATGCTGATGTATTCAATTGTCTCCTCATCTCCGTGGTTAACAAAAGTGCTCACTTCACATTATCTTTGAGGACATTAAGTGTTACCGCATTTCTAAGATGATAAAAATCAATAAGGCAGAAGTTAAAAAGTGAACAGATATGAACACTCAAGCTCCATTTAGCGAAGCAGAAAGAACCCACCTGAAGTATTGCTATTGGTGTGTTACTCACGCCTGTGACGTTTGTGTCTGCTTCACAAAACATTACCATCTACTTAGTGAAAACCTTAAGGACTCAAGTGCTCTCTCTAGATAATTCTATACCCAATTGACTTCCAAAGAATAAAATGCTCTGAGCTATAAAATTATATGCAGGGATATCTCCTTAATGCTTGGTCATCTTCTGTTCAGCAAGTTATTACGTATTTCTTCTGATCAGGAAGACCTGGACGACTCTCGTGCCCAGCATGATGCACTGAAGCCTTGTGAGCGTGTTCAACCGTCTAAGCTATACTCAAATGCACAGATGTCTGTCTTCATATAAAAGGAAAGAGGAAAGAAGGGAGAAGGGGAGAGAAAGCAGAGGGAAGAGAAAGAGGGAAGGAAAGATACAGAGAGAGGAGGGAAGGGGGAAGGGAAAAATGGAAGAGAAGGTGGGGGATGAGAAGGGAAGAAACTGGGGAGAGAAAGATGGAGGGAAGGGAAGGAGGGAAAAGAAAGAGGAGAAGGGGAGAGGAGGCAGAGAGGGAGAGAGTGAGGAAGGGAAAGAAGAGAGGGAATAAAAAGAAAGGTGGAGAAGGGGAGGGAGGGGTGGGGAGAAGCGGGGGAGAGGGAAGGGAGGAGAGTGCAAGGAAACAGAAGGGAAGGGAGGGGTAGGAATTAGGAAACAAAGCAGAGGCTGGAAAGGGAGGAGAGGATGAGGGGAGGGTGGAACTGGAATGGAGGAAGCAGAAAGAGAAGGGAGATGAAAGAAAGGGAAAGGGAGAGGAGAAGAAAGGAAAGGGGAGGAGAGAGAAGAGGAATGGTAGGGAAGGGAGGAAATGAAAAATCATGTCAATCACACTTAGCTGGTGAATTCAACTACTTAACCCTGAATAAGTAGACCTTTAATAACAATTACCGTTAGCTCAGAGGAAAATGTATTATGAACAACCTCAGGCTTATGAAATGAATAAGAAAAAAATCTTCCCCTTTAAGTTGGAAAATTATGAAGAACATAAATTATATCAGTTTCCCCCAAACAATTATCTATTATGTATCCAGCTAAAACCTGCTTTAATTAAGACATACAATTATATAATGTAGGATTTTTTTTGCATTTTCCTCACTGATTGGAATCATATAATTTTATAGCTGGAAGATATTTTCTCCAGATTTTATCAGCCATCTCCCCCATGCAAGTGAAGCAACTTAAACACAGAGCTGAGCACAAGGGAGATCATGCAGATTAGAACTAGAATCACAGCTTCCTGCTTCCCCTGTCACTGTTCCCCTAATATTGCATCATCTCACTGACTCAGGGGACCAAAACAGATGGCTCACAGGAAAGGAGAAAGTCCTATGGAATTCAGAGAACAAAGCCAAAACAGATCTGAGCTCCTGGAATTTTCGGAAAACCTTAAAGAAATGACATATAAGAAGCACAACTGAAAGTAGGGAGCTTCTAGATCCTGAGAGTAGAAGAAGCTGGGAAGGTAGGAGAAGCTGGGAAGGTAGAAGCTGGCTGGGAACGTAGGAGAAGCTGGGTAAGTGGGAGAAGCTGGCTGGGAAGGTAGGAGAAGCTGGGGAAGTGGGAGAAGCTGGGAAGGACTTAGAATTTAGACAGACACAGACACACAGATGAACTTACATCTACATGGAGCCAGAGGGCGTGTCTCTCACAGATTTCAGCAATCTCATCCAGGGGATCGAAGGCACCCAGCACAGTGGTACCAGAAGTGGCACAGACAAGAAATGGCACTGCCCCCTGAGGAACGAAACCAATCGCAAAGAGAATTGTCACCATCATGGTGAGATCTGCCCTGTTGTAAGTTGGTAAACACAGGGATTATGCATCTGGACACATACGGGGCCTCCTTGGAGGTCATCATGGCTGATTCAATGAGTGTTGGGCACTTCCATACTGTGTGGCCTCTGGTCATGATAGCTAGGTTGAAGACAGGGAGAAAGTGCTATAACCTGGGCCTCCATTGGTCCAGATCAACAGCTGCAGTCAAGATCATTCCTGTCAGTTCCTGTCGGTTGCATTGTCTGTCAGGTTTATGTTCTTTCTGGTGCTGGCCCAGGTCCAAAGTAGACAAACCCACAGGTAATGACAGACTGTCATTCTGTGGGTTTCCTGATTGCTCTTGAGGAGACAGCCTGGGTTTCTACAGAGCCTTCATTGCCCCTTCTGGCCCCTGGGCTGAACCATGCAGGCCTGTCCACTTATCTAAGTAAATACAGCTGCCCGGCAAAGGTAAAACCAAATGCAGACACAGAAGAAGCTGTGAACAGAGAGACGGAGGCAACGTCACAGGGGAGCGTGGCCCATATGGGCCAGCCATGGATAAATCACGGCACACGATGGGAAAGAGGGCCCGCCTCATCCCTGTCTCGGTGCCCTCCTCTCGCAGCTGATGCCTGAATCGTGTAACCTGAGCAGATGTCAGTGGACCACGGGCAAGGGAAGGATGGGCACCACGGAGATGAGAAACAATCACAAGCAAGTTAGCCAGGCGCGGTGTACACACCAGCAGGCTTCGTGCCAGTCAGGTAAAGGAAAGGGAGAAAGGGATCTTTCCAAGCTTACCAATGCCAGCATGGTGGCAGAGGCGTGTTACTTACTGTGACAGAGACAACTCACAGACAACTGTGGGATTGTGGGTAGCTAGGACTCTAGGTTTTCAAAACATCTGAGGTATAAGACACTCCTGACATTTTATTTCCTCTGAAAACTTTGCTCTCACTTAGAGTCAACTTCCCCTCACTTTTATGGTGAAGTTCATTGTTATTGCAATAGCTTCTTATCTCCTCGAGTGCTGTGGGCACTTGTGTTTGAACCAAACTTATTACAACTTAACTGACCTTTTGATAGAAAGATGTTATTTCTCAACGGAAAGTGGGACAGAGCAAAGCCACTGGGCCCACATCCCCCAACTGAGATGCCCAGGAGTCAGAGAGACAGCACAGAATGAATCCAGTTGCCATCTGGAGAGACAGCTGTGACACAGGGTTGGGTCTACCCCAACCCTTTCAGAGCCAGGCCAGGAGGTGACAGAGCCCCCACTGGGGAGCCATGAGCTTGGGGAATTCTTCCCCTGTACTCAACCACAATTGATTAAGTCTTTATCATGTCAGTGACCTAAACAGAATGAGAACAGAGTCACATCAATCATCCAAAGCAACATACAAGAAGCTATTCACTAAAAATTGTTTCAGGTAGCTTTTCTGGTGGGCTCTTCCCCGTACACTAAATCATGGTCTGACAATTGTGAGAAAATACCCATGTAAGCTAGTAGAAGTTTCTAATGAGTTCTCTTTACCTGTCAAGTCATATGGTTTTTTAAACAGGCCCAGGAATTACATGATTATGTGTGGATTTAGCCTTCTCTGTGTTCCTCCTCCCTCATCTCTTGCCACTAACTACAATGTTCAGGGAAACAGTATTGATCACATACCACCTGGGAGCTGCATTCCATGAGAAAGGTTGTCACTTCAAACACTCATGCTCAAACTACCTCAGAAAGATCTGGTGGTGCTGCTTCCTGAGCTGGTCAATAGCTACTTAGTTGGTGCCCTGTAGTGTGTACTGTCTTCATAATGGTATCAAGCAAAGTCACTGCAAAGATGTTTTAATGGCTCGCCGTGGCTCAGAGAGCTCAACCCCAGCACAAAAACCCGTGGTGATGTTCAGCTCCCTGTGTCTGAAGTAATAAGAATGAAACACAGACAAGCAGGTCTGAGCCACAGAGGACCACAGGGGAGCCTCCTGTCATGTGGTATTGTCTCCAAATGGATGCACAGTTGGTTGTTAAGAATCCATGCCCATGTAGGCACTGACTTCAAAGGAAACCCGGTAGAAACACCATTGTGTCCTTGCTGCCCTCTTTTCCAGTGTGCCTGAAGCAATTTTCCATTTTCACAAACTTCCATTCTGGGGTTCTCAGCCTCAGAATTATGTCAGTTTCCTACACTTGGGGGTATCAAAACAAACCAATAATTGAAGAAAATAAGTAATGATTACAATGGAATCAAATCATCTATGTTAGAAATATGAATTGCTATGACACTAACACAAGAGGCTGTGTTTAAGGGAGGGTGGGAAATGATCTACCCGATGAGAATTGGTAAACCAGGTCAAACAAGAAAGTGTTTATCCTTCTAGCCTAGGAATATCATTTCCTTGGGGAAACTAGTGATGAGGAAGCAGTTTTGCGGGTAGTAGAAGGCGGGCCAGCGAGTGAGGGAGGAGCAGGAGAGTGAGTTCCCAAGTCACATAAAGAAAGAATGCTTCAGCCTATGGTCACCATGGCAGCCAAATCCAAGAGGCAGAGGTGGGGGGTGGGGGTGGGGGGGGAGCAGGGAGTTGATAGTGGATGGTGGGTGGGTGGACCCCAGAAATGCTAAGCTCCCTTGATCAATGTCATCACAGAAGAAGCAGGGTTTCTCCCCAAGTAAGGACAAAATGTGAAGCATGGAAAGAAATCCTGCTTGAATCCCACAGAGGAGCAAGGTCATTAGAGGAGACACAACTAGTCTCTCAGCCTCGATGTGAGCTATAAACCCAGGGACATGGATGCTTCCCCACATCAATTCAGGGCTTAAAAGTAGAGGCGGAAGAAGCTGTGAATTTGCAAACTTTACCTGACCTACCACCCCCCCCAAACATAACATAGAAACCTATGGGAACGCTTCCTTAAATAAGCCAGTTATTGTTCTTAAAAGTAAAGGGAAATTTCAATATAGACTTAATATCTGATTATACTAAGTGATTACCTTTAAATATAATTGTAGTACTAGTTAAAAAGTTAAGAGTGCATCTACTTTAGAGATATACTCAACTATTTATGGATCGATCAATGGAACTATGCCAGGGGTATGTATCAGACAGATCTTGGAGTGGTAGAAGGGGCTGGGGTAGAGGTGGAGGAGAAAGTTAACTGTCTCATTGAGTGCTGGGTGTGCATGATGAGGGTGAGAGGTATGCTACATCTGCTCTGTAGGTGTCTGCAGCCATTTACAATGAGAAAGGTAAAAGAACAGAGGTAGATGGGTGGATAGACAGACAGACAGACAGATAGATGATAGATAGATAGATAGATAGATAGATAGATGATAGACAGACAGATGGATAGATAGATAGACAGACGGATGATGGATAAATAGATGATAGATAGATAGATAGATAGATAGATAGATAGATAGATAGATAGACAGACAGAGAGGGGGAGGAAAGGAAGAAATGAGTGGAAGGGATGGGGAGGGGAATGGAAGGGAACAGAAGGGAAGAGGAATGGGGGAGAGAGAGTACAGCCCATGGAAGCAAGATCCTTAGCATCCATCCCCATGGAGCATGCCTCACATGAGCAAAGTTCCTTTCAAGAGAAAACTGGGTAGTAAAAAAGCAATCCTAAAAGGAAGTGTTTGAGGTTCACAGTAAGAAAAACAAAACAAAAAAAATGAAGAAAAGGACAAAACAAAACACCTGACAGTATTTTGGAGAATTTTACCCAAAGTGAGAGTGTGACATTGGGAACCCCAGACACTGACTATGCCTACACAGTATTAAGATGTTAATTAGAGAGATATGTGATAGGCTTGAGGAAGCACATCTGAAGACAGTGTACCCACAATGCTACCAGACTTTTAAGCAGAGACTCCAAGGCCAGCAAGATGGCTCAGAGAATAAAGATACCTGCTGCCAAGTCAGAAAGTCTAAGTTTAATGCCCAGAACCCACATGGTGGAAGGAGAGATCCAATACTCCAAAACTGTCCTCTAACCTCCCTATGTGAGCCATGACATGAGCCCCCTCTCTCCAAACAAATAAAATGTAATGTTTAAAATTTTCAGTATAGACTCTGCACCAAATATGGTAATTTAGCATACCCCAGGGTGAAGTAATTTTATGAAGTTTGAATAGATGAATATAACAGCAGAGATATAATATTGAGGCTTAAAGTAATGAATGTATCCATCTTCAAACGCAAACACCTATGAGAATAGAGTATTTGCATAAACCAGCCATTTAAAGCATGGCCTTAGCTCCATTAGCAGTGGGGGAGGGGGGGTTGAATGGGAATAAACAGTAGAAAGAAAGCATTTGGGCGCAAGAAGTAATCGGGTGAACTGAGCAGCCAGGCACATTTTCAGAACCTGTGTGAAAGCCAGCCTTGCTGAGTCTCAGCAGGTAAGCATGGTCAGGCTTTCTCTATTCAAGCAGCTTAGAAAGATAGAACGTTCTGGCACAGAAGTGTTAGACCATGCAGTGCACCCAATGAGGACAGGGAGAGGTGGAGCCCCACCCTAAAAGCACTACATATGGGTATGGTTGAGCCTCCAGAAGGAGGAGTTATATAAGAAATGGGATACTGGAGTTCTTCACGAGGGCTCGCTACAACTTTAGGGGCAATCTAGCCAAGAATCCTAAATGTCATGACACCAGTGTTTACAGACTCTGGCCACCAGGAATGAGAACGCCCAAGAATGTGGAGAGCCTTGCACCAGGAAACAGAACGTATGCAAGGCAGCTACCAATTTCCCCTATTTTAACTGCGGGATACTTTCTTCTCTCACCCACGCGTAGAACGTTGCTGGTGGTCGCCATTCTCCCTGCTATTCTCCGCCTCATAGGCAGATGTCCATCCCATCCCCGTCTCTTCAATCCCTCACTCTCACCTCTTTCCTTGCTTGCCAGATTCTTTTCTCCAACTCCTCGGGTATCATTTTACCTCTGAGGGATAGAGTTAAGACATTCAGTTATGCCCAGTACTTAACAGGCAACACAACTGCTTTCACAGAGCACGGTTTCCTCCACCCACGACCTTGGCCCATAAGTCTTCTGCCCCTGCCCCCGCCCTTGTTACCTTCCATCTGTTTCCACAAAGTACACGTTCTGTGTGCCAATCCCAAGGAAGGAGGCTGCTTTCTTCATGGAGTAATGACACTGAATTAAGGGGTGATAGGGGAGGGACAGTGATGAATACAGAGTATGGAGCATGTATTATTTATTATCTAAACCACAGCGTGTCTTTATAGTGAAGCACAATCGTTGGAACATGAGTGCATAGAAGAAAAAACTCATAATTGAACTGAGCTGCTAAACCAGTGGCAGAGACTGTTGACTTCAGGGTCAGAGAAAGTGGCATTTTTTTTGGAACCTTGAATAATGAACTCTTGGAGTCGAGGTTTGCCCATCCAGAAAGCACTGTTAATAAAGGCTATGCCATCAGCTCATCACTGAAAGAAATGGATTAACATGCGAACTCAGTTAAATGGATGGCAAGACATGGTGACTGGAGGCTCTTGGCATCTGTCAGATTAAGAAAGGTCTCCATTGACACTACTGTTACGGGTGAGCTTGTGGAAGCTTAGAATCTAGTCTACTCTTGACTACAAACCCTCTGAGGAGAGACAAGATGCTACCTCAAAAATGACAAGGGGGGCTTAATTATCTCCTAGGGGGGAAATGATGGGTTATAAACAGAGGTCAGGCATTTGACCAACTGTATAACCTGGAGGGAAAGGCTGAAACTAGACCTATAGGAATATGGCTGACATCACAGGAGCCAATGTGACAAGGAAGGTAATGATTGTACTCCAGCATGGCCTCAATGAAGTCAGTAGTTGGTGCTGACAGGTGTAGCCTATTTCTTGTTGACAAATGCTGGAAAGACCGGAGATGGTTAAGTTTTCACTCTTACCACTCAAAGCCTGCAACATAATTAGCACTGAAACATTGAAAATGCTCTTCTTTGTGTATAAAGGGGAACAGGTAGTCAATTCACTTTTTTTTCCATGCCAGAAAAAAAGGCAATAAGGAACATTACTGTAAAAAAAAGTAACTTTAATTTGTGGGGATGAATGCATTAAAAGAATAGTCATGCCTTCACACTTCACTTGATATATTCCCTCAAATGTGGTAATTTTTTTCCTCCTTTTGTCAAATAGGAGGTTCCTTTTTTAAACCCTGCAAAAATAAAATGCAGAAGGAGTCGTGCCATCAGGAAAAAATGAGACCGTCCTAAATAATTAATTTCCAAGTATCAAGCAGGACACATCCCAAGTGCCTGCAGAATGCATTTGTTCCAGGGTGTCACAGAACATATGCATATCAGACGGCAATAACGTACATAAAAAGTGTAATTAATGTCTGCTGGCTACAGCAGCCTTTGCTGGCTGGAGGTAGCATGCCTGCCGTAACTAAGGTGACACAGTCAAGGTGAATTGTTTCTCACCAGAGACGTAGGCTCTGCCAGCCGAACAGCTATTGATTCCCTAATGATAAATACTAGCCGGCCCCAGTGACGTCTGACTGTAAGGAAACAAGCATCCCAGGCCTCTCCCCCATGAGAAGCAGCACATTGTCTCCAGCCAATGCACTGCTGAGAAAACTCTAGACTCAGAATCACAAGAAAGGTCATGGACCAGGTCAAGGACATCAGGGCCAGGAACAACCGGGTATCACTCTCAACTGCACAGGGACAGATTTTTTTTAAAGGCCTGCTAACCAACTGAAAGCCAGACATCTGAGAGTTTTTGGAGAAAATGGGCCCTGGATGTGGAAAAAGAACAGTGACCCTTCAGATAGGCTGACTAGTTGAGGGGGAAGGGAAAACCTAGATGGCTTAACCTGAGAAGTAGTAAGTGCATTTTGAAGTAAACAGTGGTTGTTCCTGTTACTAACAAAGATAAATCTGGCATTCTAAAACCCAGACTCCCCATAGGCTTTGTAAATCTACAGAAGGCATACCCACCCTAGTGGGTACCAGTTTCCACAAAGATGAAGCAACAAACGAATGCCAACATGAAAGTCAGCCCTGAGCTGAAGTCTCACTTTCTGGTTCTTGCGAGGATGCTTTATTCGTGACCTTGAATGTCTTCCCTGTGATCTTGGCTTTCATGATGAATTGCTGATTTCACCATGGTGTGTGCTGTGTCCAGAATACAATGGGTCTAGTGCTGACTAATTTGATCTTCAAATTTTCAGGTAGGGAGAGCAGAGTTTATGACTGTTATTTTTCAGGGAGGGAGAGAAGAAAGACTCTGGAGATTTCTCCAAGGCCATAAAATTAGTCCCATTCCTAATGCTATTAGGTTCAGCTAAGAAGGATGGTTTTCCCCTTCATGACCTACACTACACCTTAAAGGGCTCAGAGTATGTCATGTAGCTATTTCCTCTGATGAAAACATTCCCACATTCCCGTAAGGTTCAGGAAGTAAGGAAAACCAACAAGACTCAGAGAGCTCCTGAAACTTAGGCGCCTCATGAGGTCCCCCTTCGAAGCGATAAGAGCACTGACTGTGGCCAGGAGAAGAGACTCTCCAGGCAGTTGAGTCACCTGACTGCCAACCCCAGGGATTCAGCCCATGCTGGGTGGTCTTTCCAGGATGCTGCTGACTTTGGCGGCACCCATGCTCCTGCGTGCAACACCCACACTCCTTTAAGTAACCCCAGTAAGTCCACTGGCTCACCAGCTAGACGACGTGGCATTGTTTCTTTGCTGTGTCATTTGTGCCCTATCTCAGGTGGGTAGCTGTTAGTTCACACGTTCCTCAGGAAAAATAGCTCACCGGGGAGGCACGAAGGTGCAAGACTGTAGGAGGACAAGCCCTGAGACAAGCATCCTACACCACTCACTTTCTTCCCCAGCCCCAGCCATGCTTAGGAAGAACAGGTACAGCTCACTGCCTGGAAGTCAAGCTTCTTTTTGACCCTCATCTTGTAGTGCCAGGCAGTGAGCTCTGTTTTGTGTTGAATCTAAAAATAATCTGCTCTGCTCATAACCCTCCAAATCCCATGATCACTATGTACTCAAGACACTCACAATGAAGTACCAGCTGAGTCACAAATATAAAATTTTATGACTTCTCTCTGAATGTCTCCTTTTGCTTGATCTCCTTTCAGCACTGGGAAGGGTATTGTGGATCTAGTGACAGCTCAGGAGTCTACTGGGATGATCTTGCAGACATAAACGGGAGTATGCAGAAATACCTTCTATGCTAGATGTATGCACTCTAATCCAAGGTGCAAGATAGGAATGCCAAGGTGTGGGGCAGTGTTAAAATATAAAAGAAACTGATCGAACCACAGAGAAACTGTGGGCCTCTGAGTGCCCATTAACTAAACTCCTAAAAGCAAACAATGATGTACAACAGTGACTACCCTTAGCCTTGAGAACTTTACTAAACACACCATTGAGTAATTCTGTTTTTAAATTTAATAGTGGGCTGATTTGTTATAGTAAGCAATGGTCATTAAAATGGAAATTAAAGTAATGCAGATGCTCTGACCCCAAGCAGGGAAAGGAAGAAACTGCAGAATGATTATGAATATAATAATCACGACACAAAGGTTGAATCTATGGACAGATACTCAAGACAAAAGTGAGCTCACAGAGATGGGGCTCACATCCTGTTCTTTGGTTTTCTGGACCCAATTTCTGCTGGCCTGTCAGCCACCTCTGTCTCCTGGGAGCCTGGAAAGATCACACAGTTCTGGCTTCATAACAACTTGACAGTCCAGTGTCTTCTCACCCCCTTCACCTGGACCTGTGGTCATCCCCATCTCCATCTTCACTCTCAGCCCCAGTCACACATTTTCCCTTTTCTGGGGCATCTCTTCCAGGAAAAGACTCTAGTGAAGAAGAGTTAAACCAAGCGAAGATGGAAAGTGCAGAAAGATATGGGGCAGAGGCAGGGGCAGGGTTTCATCAGCCTGCCCAATCGATGAAGCGGCACCGTGACGCAGCACCGTGTCACCAATGACTTGGGTTCCAGAGTCTGAAATAGACTGGGCTGCAGCAGAGAGGGGGGAGCCCTATCCCGTCAGGTGCGTAAGTATTTTCACAGTTACAGACACTCTCCTCTGCCTACAGAAGACACAGCTCATGAAGGACCACAGTGCCACAGTGCTCGAGGTAAGATGTTGATGGTGAGGTATCCCCCAGGTTGAGTGTTGAAAGGGGCCTGTCACCCTGGCTCCTGCTCTCCTGTCAGCTCAGAGCTAGCGAGAGTTGAAGGCTAGGGTTCTCTCTGGGGAGCTGAAGGCGGGTGGGGGTGGGGGGAGACAACACTGTTGGCTAGGGTTTTCGTTGGGGAGAGCCCCCCAATGCACAAACTTGCAAAAACAAAGTAACGTTTTTTCTCTTAGAGAAAAATGAATGCCCAGAAAAGACCATCTGGAAGTCTCAGACAATGTTCAGCTTTTACTTATGTTTTCCTGTTGGTTTTGCTTTGTTTTGTTTTCTTCTATTTTAAATAGGATAAAAAGTAACAAGTCCCCTCTTGACGTTTTTTTCATACATGCTTTGATTGGTGGGTCTTGCTCCTCAACTGCTCCCTGCCGGTACAACCATCCTCCTTCCCATTCTTACTCCTCCAGTCCTAGTATTCCATTTTCCAATTTCAAGGCACATGTGTCTGTGCCCTGTCTTGTCTGACTTTGGAAGCTAAGCAAAGCCAGGCCTGCTTAGTACTTGGATAGGAGGCCACCTCAAGCTCTCGATCTGAGAATGAGCAGAGGTTCCCACTGGAAATACACAGGGCTCTTTCAGATACGACAGCCCTTAATCTGGACCATCCAGTTATACCCATCTCTCTGGGATGCCTCTTTGTCTTCCCATTGATAATGGCTACTTCTTCTGATATAGGTCAGATCTCACTTTACAGGCAATAACCCATTCAGTCTTTGCAACCAGGTCCTCTTCAGAGAGCACTGTGTGGCTGTTGGATTGCTTCCATGGACCCATTGCTCAGGGATCCTTGACTCCAGACCCTTTTCAAGGAGACCTTACATAGACACACTCCACATCAGATTCTGCTTTCTCCACATTGGGATCTGGAGCTGAGATATGTCTTGCTCTGCTACAAAAATGAGCCCATGCTGACAGCGCACCAGCTCTGACTCTAGAACTCAGTGGCTGGTGTGTTCCCAGCTTTCTTGGGTGCACTTGAACTGTTGGGGCGTGCCATGCCCTGGATACACAGGGTAGAGAGGAGTCACTGGGACCACCAGCTGGTCCACTCCTGTACCAGTTATGTAAAAGAGCCCATCCATGCATGGCACAGCTTTCAGGTGCTGGCAGGCTTAGCATCGGTCACACAGTGGCAATTCCAGGCTGCTGGATATGGGGTTAATTGGAGAGAAAAGGCAACTGATACACAGTTTCACAAATTAGGAAAGCAAAGCCCAAAGGTGGGAACCACCTTTGTCAAGATCACTCAGATAATGTGTGCTGGAGACTGGAATTAAATCTGGATGGTCTGGCTCAATGTCCCTGTGCTCATCCATATCCTTACCTTGTACTTCGGGGGACAGAGAAGTAAGATGTAAGAACTCTGGTGAACCATGGTTTCATGTGTGTGTATCAGTGTGTGTGTGTGTGTGTGTGTGTGTACATGTGATTGTGTGTGTGTATACATGTGATTGTGTGTGTGCATGTGATTATGTGTGTGTGTGATTGTGTGTGTGTGATTGATTATGGTGTGTGTGACATCAGTGGTTACTGAAGCCCCCTGACTTCCTCTCTACCTTGAAAAGAAAGATAAAAATCCCTTTCACTATTCAGTCAAAACAACTTAGCATGGTTTTGTGAGTAGAGAACATATCTGATACCAGTTCAGATTTGAGTCCTAATAAAGCAAGACACTTGATCATGGGTGCAGCTCCCTGTTACATGCAGGAGATATGGTCTGTGGCAGACATCCTGATCCTCTCTGGCTTTCCACTCTTTCCACTCCCCTTCTATGATGTCCCCTGAGCCTCAGGTATGAGGGTTATGGTAGGTAGATATGTCGTCAAAGTGTGAACACCCTGTTGTCAGACTACAAATTTTCAATGAACTTACTGCACCAAAACTGAGTAGCCTGGGGGGTAGGTGTCACAAAACCAGAATAATGTAAGCATATCAATCACACTCAGATAGAATAAAAATTGCAACAGGAATCCTCAGGCAAATGAACCCTCTTGGATAACACATTCTCAAGAGGAAAAATGTATCCATCATCAAAAATAATGCTTTACCTCTGCCGATGTGAAAAGGACTAATCTTGGCAAACCAGACAGACCCTTCTCCTTAACATCAGGGTAATATCTGTATCTAGCTAAATTCATAGCACACATATTGGACACTGAGCCACCTGCAAAGACAAAATTTAAATGTTAAATTTACAGCATGAAGTCTTAACACCCAAAGAAGCAAATAAACTGGGAAGCATTGGACAGCTAGGACTACCCTAGTCTAACAAAAACTTACTGTGGGAGGTACCCAAACAACCCAAATTTCCCATTTAAATTCTCCTGGATGTCTACAATTTCCGAACTTTTTATTTCAAAAAAGAGGGAAATTTAGGCCTATACTTTTGGCTTAGGACTTTTTCCCCCAAACTAAAACTTTGAGCCTTTGACCCTGAAATTTAGGAGGAGCATCTGAAGTTGTGCTGTCTATATCACCCTGTCTGTCACACTCTCTGTCACCTCGTGGTGAACTTGAAATGGAAACACATGCTCGTCTCCATGTAGAGAGACACTGTAGATTAAACCAAAGTGGTTTTGAAAGCTTCTGAAGAAGCATTGCTGAACCACATAGAGGACTTAAACGTATCTTTGGAAGCTCCCAGCAGCTGAAGCATTCCTTTTTGCTAGTTGAAAGTCTCACGTGTAGACATGTAAGTCCTAAATTGTAGACATCTCATATGTTAAGTATGCATATCATGACTTGGCATTTATGCAAATTTCAATCACACTATGAAAAGGTGTCAGATCCACGGTAAGCCAACTTTTTGGTCATGTGCGTGTCTGCAAGGAGAGGTTCCTCAACTGAATAGATGTCTAGATGCTCCGAGTGGAAGGGTGATGGAGGTCACCAGTGGTACTCACCTGGGTTAAATATTCCATCCCCTTCTTTCCAGCCAACACATTCAATCATTTTCTTCAGAACCGCCTCTTCCACTAACAGAAACACTGGGGACACCTCATACGTATAACTAGACAGATATAAAAAACACTTCACTTCTATGACTAGAGTCAGAACATCCCTTTGAGGTCCCGAGAGAAATGCACAGGGAGAGTTCCATGAAACCCAATGGCTGCCAAGTGGAGGGAGTCTCTGCAGATCTATCCCTTGGAACTGGAGAAGTCTCCATCGGTGATACCATTAGACATGGTTTAACTGTCCATAGCTGGTGGCCTTCTGCCAGCTACTTCAGGAACCTTCAATTCCAGGAGGGGAGAAGAGGGCAGAGTATCGTCTGTCAGCCATGGGAAATGGCCATTTCTTTCTTGGAATACTTAGTATGATGGCTGTTGATACTAACTAAGGAGAAGCTGTTGTCTTGGTAACCATGTTTCTCTGGGTCATTACCGTGAGCACACTATCTATCTCTACATGGGTGCTCTGTGACCCAAACATGGCTTCTTCTGCCACAGTAGCTCTATCTACACAGGTAGAAAGTGTTCCATGAGTCTCTCTCATTGTGTGATGGTTTCGCTGTCCTGATTTCCTGCTCTAGGCCAGCCTAGGTCATCGGAGAGCCTTGCTATGGTGACCTTCTTAGGATCACTTCAGCTGAAGGAGCTATCTTACAGTCACACTCCCTGTGGCTTCCAACCTTAATGTCTGGTCCTTGCAGAGATTTCTCTTGGGTCAGTGGAGACTGTCACTAAGCCTTTATGACAGTCGGACTTGCAACCTTGCCCCTCCCTGCATTCTCTTCCCTTACTCCCTAGTCCCTCATGCTGATCCTATATGCTTAATATATACCTGCCCTTTGAACTCCACCCAGAGTAGCTTCCCAGCTCCAGAGCAGGACCCCAGACTTCATCAGCTACAGTACCTGGTTATGTAATGTGTAAATATCCTCTCTCTCCAGATAACTAAGTGGCTAAATATCCCCAGCCTCCTTTATAATTAGGTGACTACATTAAATTGTATCTAAATAAGTGTATACTCTATCTAATACATAGCCTAAGAAAATGTGTTTAAACTTCTAGTTGTAGAATTTTTTGATAAAAGTATTTTAACATCTGAAGGGAACAGCTTTGGAACAAAAGCAAAAGAACCAAATGCCTACTATGTAGTGCCTGCTGTATGCCAAGCACTCTCTTAAACATAAAATGGGCTACATTTCCAACCTTGATTATTAATCAATACCACACTGTCCTGGACACGTCCTCTCCCATGGTTTCCATACCTATACTCTTGACTTCCCCAACTCCTTCCTCCATCACAGCTGAAACTCTCCCTTCTGATCATTAAAGGCTAGTTATCTTCAAGTTTTGTTCCCAAGGTCCCGAGTCCTGTTCTTTCCTCACTCTCTTTTGCCCTTATGATGTGGCTTTCCACCCTGGCTACTCACTGAAGCCATTAAACCCACACAGCATTTCTTTAGTCTGCTTGGACTCCGAGGGTCCTCCAGGTAATTCCAAGTGGGAGATAGCTTTCAGAATCTCATCCATGCTTACTATTTAACCATTCTTCACCCAGTCTCTTTTTACATTTATATTTTTAAAAATCCCTATCAGAATTCCAGGCTCAGATAGCTCTCAGTTTGGTTGACTATCTCAAGGACCTGGGCTTGCCACTATGACTATGCTGGCTGGTCACCAAGTGCCAGGGATTCGGCTCCCTCCACCTTCTCAGTGCTGGGATTACTAGTGGGTTGGGGGCTCACACTCAGATCCTCATGCTTCCCATCAAGCACTGTGATGATGGAGCCCTACTTTCATGCTTTGTCTTCTAAACCTGTTTTCCCCTGTTCTTTCCACTTCTACTTCAGTCAGAATCCAAACTGCTAGCATCTCTCATTTGGCAAAGAAAATATCTTCTTAGTTTATCCCATCTAGTCTACTCTGATAATTCAGTGTGTTTGTGTGTGTGTGTGTGTGTGTGTGTGTGTGTGTGTGTGTAAGTCAGATGGCACTTTGAGACACCCCAGCTTAAGCCAGGCTAATGGTCCCAGGAGCTTTTGGATCGTCTTGTCCCTGCCTTCCATTTCCCACAGATGTACTGGGTTCTAGACATTTGTGTTACTGCATCTGGCTGCTATGTGAATTCAGAGATTCTGAGCTCAGGTTGTCACGATTACCCATTGAGTCATCTCCCGATCCCTCAGCAAAAAATTTTTGGACAGCAAATGTCACCAAATAATGTTGACTTTCAAGGGCTTCCCATGCTTCACGTGCTCAGCACATTTCTTCTCTTGGTCTTCTTGGCCTGGTTTTCCACTCTAATCCCTGTCACTCTGTCGGCTCCACCCACACTGACCTTTCAACATAGAGCAACATGCTGCCTTCCACCACAGAACCTTTGAACATGCTGCACTCACTGTGGAATTCTGCCTCCCACCACAGGACCTTCATACATGCTGCTGCCACCACTTGGAACGTGTCCCTCTCAATTTCACAACGTTAACTCTTACACATCCTTCTCTTAGCTGTCACCTTCTCTCAGAGACTTTTCTGGGACTAACCAGGAAGCATTCCTCCATTTATATTTATAATATAACACACTTTTCTCTCAAGTATGAATTTGAATTTTACATCCATCCTCATTAAGGCCACTTAGTATGTATCTTTCTTTCACCAGACTTCATCATTTCTAAGGGCAGCATCAAAAGTGTGTGTGTGTGTGTGTGTGTGTGTGTTCATGTGTGTGTGTGTGTGTTCATGTGTGTGTGTGTGTGTATGTATGTGTATGTATGTGTGTGTGTGCGTGCGTGCGTGCGTGCGTGCGTGCGTGTGTGTGTGTGTGTGTGTGTGTGTGTGTGTGTGTGTGAATCAGATGGCAGCCTCCAGCATGGTTCCTTAGGAGCCATCTACTTGTTTGAAGCAGGATCTCCCACTGGTCTAAAGTTCACCAAGTAGGCTAGTCTGGCTAGCCAGGAATCTCAGGGATCCGCCCGTGTCTCCATCCCAGAGCTGGTATTACAAGAGGGTATCAGCATCATACTTGGGTTCTGGGTGTCTTCATGTTTGTGAGGCAAGCACTTTCCCAAGTGAGTCATCTCCTTGGCCCAAGGCTTGTTTTTATCCTGTCTCTAATATTTAGCATAGACATGGCTTCTTATGCAGGAGTTATTGGAGAGTTGCTTAACCAGGTCTCGCCTCTGTTTGATTGATAGGTATGCCTGGCATTATCTCACAGCTCCACCTGTCAAAAACACCTCTCCAATATGGCTTGGAGTCCAAGGACTATGACATTTCTAATGGTTACACTGCCAAACAAATCATTCCAGTGAAATTTACCAAACAAACTTTCACAGAGTTAACACCCATCTCTAAGCTCCAGTCACATGGCACTTACATGCTTGGATTCAGTGCTTCTGTTATGATCCGGGCTGCCAAGGAGTAGTAGTCGAGGCCAGCGTACAACTGGTTGAAAAATCTTGGATGGTCTGTAAATGGAAAACAAAACACTCACGTACACAGCAATGAAGCACCAATCGCTCTTCCAGACTAGGAGAGCAGCTAGCCACATAAAGGTCAGCACAGTGTGGTTCCACCCAAAGGCCACTCAGAATCAGCATAGACATCTGTAGAACAGAGGTAAGCTTTTGGCGCCTCAAGGAGGGGCTTTTCAACTGGGCAGGGGCACAGGGCCCTCTGGGTTCTACAAATGGTCTGAGCCTCCTCTGCTATAAGCTGAATGAGTCATGTTTGTGCACTGTATTAGATTTCAGTCTTCAAAATAATCAGCACGTATACAAGGGCAAGTGCTGAAGTTCCTTCTCTGTGTGTGCATTTGTGTACATATTCGTGTGTGTGTGTGTGTGTGTGTGTGTGTGTGTGAGTGTGTGTGTACGTGCTTATACAGGTCAGAGGTTGGTGGAAGGTGTCTTTCTTAGCTTTTCTTCACCTTTGTTTTAAGAAGGAGTCTCTCATTCAACCTCAAGCTTGCCCACTTAGCTAGACTGGCTGGCAAGTGGGGCCACCTCACCCACCCATCTCTGTCTCCCCAGAGCTGGGGTTACAGGTGTGAAAAGCCTCACCTGGCTTTTTAGCCTGGGATCCAGGAGGGCTGAACTCCTGTGTCCAAGCAAGCAATCAAAGGCACCGCATCCCCACCCATGAGGTGCTTTGGCGTAACTCTTTCTCCAAGACAAGGTTTCTCAGTGAACTGAGAGGCTGAGAGAGCCTGCTCTCTTCTGCCATCTACCTCCACCCAAGCCCTTGAGAAACAGGTCTTAGCATAGTCCCTCCAAGTGTCACAGCCTCTACTGTGGCCTACAGTGGCAGTCCAGGAGTGGCCTTTCTGCTCCTCCTGCTGCACAGCTTGTCTGTCACGAAGCAGATGGGGTACCAGCTGTGACTCGTCACTCAGTTCAGACACTTCAGAATTCAACCTACTTCAAAAGCCATCGCCTTTAAAACTCCATCATGGAGTAAGAACTTCCTGTCTGGTCTTTCTCTCCCCCCACCCCCTCCTCCCTCTCTCCCCATCTCTCTCCTCATTGAAAAGGTCTCATAAAAGTCCCCAGCTTTTAAAACTCCATCATGGAGTAAGAACTCCTGTCTGGTCTTTCTCTCCCCCCACCCCCTCCTCCCTCTCTCCCCATCTCTCTCCTCATTTAAAAGGTCTCACTAAGTCCCCAGCTTTCCAAGTGTGAATATTCACACCAAATACCAGGCTAACTGGCTTGACATTCTTAGGCATAAGAAACACAGCATGACAAAAAAGCGCAAAGACAGAGGGCCTTTCTAATTCAGAATGTGTGGGAAACTGGTTTGGTTATAGAATTTAATGTTTTTTTTCCCTCTCTCTTTCAACCATGGGTTCAATAAAGAAGAAAACCCAAATCGAAGCAAATGCCTCTTCAATTAAAGCATGGAAAACTCCCTCTGATCCGGCAGAGACAACTAGGCATCGCTACAAGTAATTTTAATGGGATTTTTAAAAGTTCTGTGTTAATTTATGATTGATTTCCATGGTAACATTATGGAAAATACATAGCAAACTGAAAGCAATCTACTGCAGTAAATGTCGCTCTAGACGTCTGACAGGAGCTATAATAATGAAGTAGGCATCCCTGCTTAGGAAATTCTGAGTTTTAGATATATGCACCAGGCTTTCCCAAGGGAACTTAATCCAATTATTTTTAGCCAGGATTTTATGGCTTTCTTTTCACTAAATTTAGTCCAATGTCAGAATTCACAGAGCATAATGCCTGTGAAGATTAAGACACCAGATTACCTTCTCAGTGCAGGAAAATGTGTGTATTTTAGAAAGTCAGCCCCCCTCCCCCCACTTTGAAACTGTAGGGAAAAGGGTCCAGCCAAAGAAACACACCCTGAGCAGAGCCAAAGAAACACACTTTGGCCCTGCAACCAGAAACAAAGAAATGCACCCTAACCCTGAAACCGGTGCCAAGGAAACACACTTTGTCCCTGGAATCAGAGCCAGTGAAAGAAACACACCCTGGCCCTAAAACTAGAGCCAAAAGGCTAAAAAGGACCAGAGAAAGAAACACACTTTGGCCCTGAAACCAGAGCCAAATCTGACCCTAACCCTGTGCAGAAAACTAACCAATCCATCCCCCTCAGAATCCCTATATAAACACTGTTTCTGTTCAGCTTGTGGCTGTTCATGCTGCCTGACTGTCCTCTACCACTGTGGCAGATAACAAACACTCTCCTGGATTCTTCCCTCCCAATAAATCTCTTGAATGAGGTTTGGATGAGACCTTTTACAGGAGCAGAGACTACCCTGGGTAGAGCAGAGCATAGTAGGACTGTAACACTTTTCGCTTGGGTAAACCTTCTCCTGGCGAAATGAAATTGTTATACTCTCTGTAACAGCTTCACCAGGGAAACCCTCTCCTGCCGGAGCAGAGCTAATACACTAAAGAAGCCTTTCCCTGAAGCAAGGCTGTAAGCTGCTATGCTTACTGTGACCTGTAGTATTCCTTGGCTCCCGAGTGCCAGATACCTTTCCATCCAAGCTGTAACACTCAGTGTTCCTTGGCTCCCTAATACCATAATCCATCCCTGTCCATCCCATTCAATCCATCCAAATGCTTACAGAAACATCTTCATTTGTCCTGTGGCAACAATCAGGCTAATGACAAAATGCCACTGTTTACCGAGAGTCAGAATAGTAATAGCATCCACGTGAAATCATACCAAAGCCCAACATTTACTGGGTTTCCTTTTACTATTACCTTTTTTTTTTAGTTTTTGAGAATGAGTCTCAAGCAGACCAGGCTGACCTTGAACTCACTATGTAGCTGAGGAAGACCTTGAGCTTCTGATCCTCCTGCTTCGGTCTGAGTGCTAGGATTACAGGTGTGCATCACAATGCCTGCTTTATGCGATGCTGGGAAGAATCCAAGGCCTTGTGCATGCTGGGCAAGCAAGCACTTTACTAACAGAACTATATCCACAACCATCATATTTTTCTGATATCATCCTAAAGGTTTTTTACCTTTTATTTTGATTTTGCCAGATTGGATCAAATGAGTTGGTAAGTAGTAGTTGCCAAGAATAAACCAACATCTAAATAAATCTATATTTTTGGACCTTTCCTTTTCTTTCTTTTCTCCTCCTCCTCCTTCTTTTTGCATACCCTGGGCCACAGGAAAAAAATTAGAGTCCTGTAACATAGTCATATAATCACAATAACTTGCCAGTTTAATAACTAGTCATAGGCACTTCAGTATACAATCTTGGTTACAAATGGAGGAGGGAGATTGACGAGGGAAGGTTGGTGTTTGCAGGGCTCTGACATTTACAGATGCCATGACAGGTTTTTTGGCCTTGAAAACAAAGCTGCATTAGGGATTAGAGGGACCCAAGTAGAAATCTACATCAAAGCCATGATTCTTCTGACCCAGGTTTCTTGTTCCTTAGACACTGACATCATCATTTTTACTAAGAGGCCACCATCAGGGATAGGTCATGGGCATGACAAGGCCTTACTGGTTTTGACGCTGAAGTGGATGACATCTTGGCAGAGTTTCAGCAGCTTGTCCTGTGTCTCTCCTGTGTCTCTCATCTCCAGATCAAGGAGCTGCCTCAGTTGCTCAGGGGGCTGCCACTCACACACCTGGAGATTGAGTGACAGCTCATAGTTAACTAGACTCCCAGTAGACTCCAGGATGGGGATATTGGAGGAGACAGGACTCTGCCCCCAGGTAGCTCCAAAGAATCAGAAGACATGGGGATGTAAACCCGCTGAGGCTGCAAGCCATCTCGAAAGGGATTGTGAGAGCAGTGTGGATCCAGCTGGGACCAGAGAGGGCCATTCAGATTCCCTAGGAGAACCAGCATCAGACTGATGACACACGGAAGAACAGAGTGAGCCGGGCTGAGCGCAGGGATGAGTCACAGAGTGCTCTAGGTGAAATCATGGGATGGAAGGTGAGGCCATCTGCACTAAGATGTCATGCAAGCATGCTGCAACTACAGCAGAATCAGAAGGAAGAAAAAGGCAGCCAGCAATGTAAGTGGACACTGACTATTCCCTGAGCTCACTCTCTTCCTTCCCCACTCGGTCTGTCAGCCCAGCTGCCAGAGTGGGCCTCTCTCCCTCAAGCCATTACTGTATTTTTCTGTGCAAATACCTTCACCGACTCACCATTGTCATCAAGGTCAAAGTCGAAGTAATTATGCAGTCAAATGCTCTACCGATGAGCAATACCACCTCAAAGTAGAAGTAGCTATGAAGACACAAATCCATTCTACTTGGGCAGCTCCTATGCCTGCATTTCTTCGCTGGCACTCCTACCCCCTGGGTTACTTGCCTCCTTCTTTGGGCATACCAGGTTTGCACATACTGCTGGGGCCTCCACACGCTTCTTCCTTTGCCTGGGATGTGTCTCTCTCACTGGCTTCTCTTCATAGTGAACTCCCTCACTTTTTGTGTCTTTGCTGACATGTTCCAATTATTTCTCAACGACAATTCTGTCTCTTAACGTTCCCACCCGACCACGACCCAGTCACTATCACTCTCCCTAACTTCTTCTACTCTTTTATTTTCGGTAGCAGGTATCACCAAGATAGTCACTCATCTGTTACGGTCTCCATAGTCTCCACAGGGGCAGCGGCATTGGCTGGTTCATCCATGGAGCCTGCTCATCACTGCCTCACGGCTCCTCATAAAGATGGATCAGGACACCAGTCTGATGATGGTGATGGGGTCACGGAAGGGTGTGTTTAGGAGAAGATGGGGAGGATGAGGCTTATGTGTGTTTACTCTAACATGCTCAATGGAGACACGTGGAGCAAATGAATGAGTAAACAGAGAGAGAAATCCGCATCAAGGTGGGCTTCATAAAACTCCTGGGAAGGATCAGGGGCATAATTCTAGGCTTCCTGGGATGATGTAAGTGGGGGGGGGCAGGTGCTCAAAGCTCTGAAAGAAGCTACAGGGATCCTTAGAGAACACTGGCACTTAAGGAACAGCATGGGTGACCTCTGACTGGGAGAACGCTTACAAGAGGAGAAGGCAGACCTTCTAGGAGAGCACAGAGGGGCCCAAGCCAAGAAAAAAGAGCGTTAAAAGAAGGGTCTGCTGCTAAATGATGCTGAGAAGCCAAATTAAAGAGCAACAAGCCCTCCTGGGATTCATCACCATGGAGGTGTTCTTGGCACCAGCATGTGACTGGAGAGGTGGGTGTGGAGGAGAGATCTTGATGGAGTGAAGAGGTAGGAGGTGAAAAAGCTGAGGGAGGAACTGCAGACATCTTTTAAAATCTTGGTGGTAGAGGGGAGGAGAGGCTGAGAGATCAGGGAATGCAAGGAGTGGGGGGGGGAGGACAGGGAGATGGGAAGCAGAGGAAGTAGCAAGATGTGTGAGAGGTGTGAAATTCAACTCCCATAGAGCCTCCCTGTCAGACAGAGGTGAGTCGAGCATGCCAGAGACCGCCCACAGGAGTGTCCATGGGCGCACACAGCTACACACATGAGTCTCAAGGGAACTTTGACCAGGGAAAACTGTCTCAGAAGCTGCTATGACAGGAATCCATCCGCATGATCTCCTGGGCCCAGGAGCTATAGAGTCAGCAAGAGCAATTGACGGCAGGAACTAGGGGCTGGGATGGGCAGACTATAGGGACCACAAGGGGACCTGGGGGAATATGGAATTGATCTGGATCTTTGTGTGTGTGTGTGTGTGTGTGTGTGTGTGTGTGTGTGACAGTACATGTGTGCACATGAGTATTCAGAAATCTACAAGCTTGGGTCATCATTCCTTCTGAGCTGCCTCCTCTTACCGCCTGAGTTAAGTTCTCTTGCTGGCCTGGAACTTGCTAATTAGACTAGAAAAGGGCTCCAGGCAGCTTCCCATGTCTGCCTTCCCAGTGCTGTGATTACAAGCACGAACCTCCATGTCATATTCTAAAATACAGATCCTTGGACGGATCTTGGGTTCCTCATGCTTGCATAGCAAGTACTTTACTGACCTCACTATTGCCCTGGCTCTCCTCACCAACCTCTCCCTGCCACCTTGCCACCTTTTGGAGACAGGATCTCTTATGGTCCAAGCTGTCCTTGAACTTGTTATGTAGATGAAGACAACCTTGAACTCCTGATCCTCCAGCTCCCAAGTGGTGAGATTATATATTCTGTACTGTTATGATGGACACAAAGCAAAGCAAAAGGGATATGTTTTGTTGAATATAAGCTTCAATGCCCGTTTCTGGAAAGTGGCTAGGAATGAACATCTACCTGTGAGGTCATTAAGAATGTGGCATGCCACCGCAGGCCATCTTAACAGTGTCTTGATGGTTCTCAGTAAGAATAAGATAGTGTCTGAAAAACTTCATTTGGTGGCCCCAACCCCAGATAGCTTGTTCTCACTCCAGATGGACAGAGAGCTTTCCTATCTGCCACATCAGCCACCTTGGGAATCTTCGCTGAGTCCCTTCACTGGGAGTCCTATGCCCCCTTCCCACCTAATTTCCCATGAGTCTTTTTTGTCAGCTCTCCTTTCCGGTCTCTTCCACAAGAGGAATGAATACCTTGCTCGTCTTACCCTTCTGCCAGTGTGTTTTCCAGCTTGTTTTTTTACATTGTCCTTAGCCACAAAAGCAACTTCTCTCCGCTTCCTAAACTAATTTAACCTTTACTCTCTGCTCCCAATGGGTCAGCTCCTCTGTGATCTTTTGAGAAGTTTTCCCCAAACTTACAGCATTCCCTGCACTCTCACAGGGACTGCCCTATTCACTTTACAAATGAAAATGTACCCTTCTTGTTGGATTGTAAATTCAGTTTGAAACTGGCCCTTTGTCTTATGTTTCTTTATTTCCTCAAGGGCTCAATTTAATGCCTTTCAAGTAGCTAGCATTCAGTTAATATTTAATTACTGATAAGAAAAAAAAGCCTAGCTTCAAAAAAAAAGGTACAAACTCAGCCAGACATGGTGCCTCACACCTATAATTCCAGCACTCAAGAGGCTGAGAGAAGACAGAACAAATTGAGGCCAGCCTGGGATGGGTAGATCATATTTCAAAAACAAAAACAAATCAAATCAGTCAAGATTCCAGTACAGATTGGGGAGGGGCTCTTGAGACTCTAGTACTAGCTGAGGAAACTTGGCAGCTGATATATATGAAGGAGACCAGTTCTTTCCATGGGTGAGCATCCTGATAGGCTGCCTGTGCTCCAGCGGGTGGCCAGCCCTACAGGCAGGAGCATAGGGCAGCACAAATTAGAGTAATTGGGTTCTGAAAAGAAATGAGGAAGGGGGAAGAGAAGGATGGTGATGACATGATACTGGGAGGGGTGTGGTCGGGCAATCTGGACGGAGCTGGAGGGAACAGCGAGGATGGATATGATCAGAATGTCTTGCAGAGGGGCTGGGGAAATGGTTCCCTGCTTGGTAGCACTAGCTACTCTTCCAGAGGACCTGGGTTTGATTTCTAGCACTCACAAGGCAGTTCACAGCCGTCTGTAACTTCAGTTCCAGGGATCTGGCACACCCTTCTGGAGTACATGCGCATGGTACACATTTGTACAAGTAGGCAAACACTTTATACATGTACATTGCATACATGCATGAAAGTCACAACGAATAGATATATTTTAAAAGCATAAAAATAACAAAAACAAAAACTTGCTCCTGAGCAAACAAGATTTCAAGTATTTCAGAGAAATGCAGACAAGTCTGATATTAAATTATAAATACATGAATGGATAAAAGCTGCCACAATCAATTTTGTCCTGAGCATGGCTATTCTGTTCATGTTCAGAGATCATGACAAAGGAGTCTATTAGCTTTCTAATTAGTGGCCAACATTTCAGAATGAATACCACCACCTTCAAATTCAGCTGTAAATGGCATTTATTTGCTGCTAATGTAATTGGGGAAACCTGTCCTATGTGTTCACTTGTTGCTAATTCAATTGGAACAGGAGAAGTGGCTGGGGTGGTAAAAGGCAATTTAGCAGTTGCTAGAGGTTCCTGGGAGGTGAAGTCAGGAACACGGACACTGAAGCCCTTCCACCTGAATTTAGTCCCAGCCGACATGTACTAGCATGTGATACGTGTGCTAGCATGTAATATGGTTGAGATACATGACCCCATGTGCCTCACTTTCTCTCTCCTTTCTAAACTGGGAATAATAACATGTCTACTGTTTAGGGCTCATGTAATGATAGTGTGTGTGTGTGTGTGTGTGTGTGTGTCTGTATACACACACAGATATATATATACATATATATACAGAGATATATATAAACAGGTCTGTGTGTCTATATTTGTTTATGTCTGTATGTGTGTGTGTCTATGTTTGTTTGTGTGTGTGTGTCTTTATGAGAGTAAATATAGGTCTGTGTGTCTATGTTTGTGTGTGTGTGTGTCTGTCTCTGTGTGTGTGTCTGTTTGTTTGTGTCTGTGTCTGTCTGTCTCTGTATGTCTATGTGTCTGTCTCTGTGTGTGTGTCTGTGTGTATGTGTCTGTATGTCTATGTGTCTGTCTCTGTGTGTGTGTCTGTGTGTCTGTGTCTGTCTGTCTATGTGTCTATATCTGTGTGTGCTCCTTGTGACAACATATGTGTGTAGCTGTATACTCACATGCTTGCCTGTGCGAGTGAGGGCCAGAGGACAACCTTTCTGTCATTCTCTAGAAGACCTCATCAGTTTTTCTAATTTTTTTGTCATTTATTTTTTGAGACAGAGTTTACCATTGGCCTAGAGATTCCCCAAGAAGGCTTGAGTGGCTGGCTAGTGAGTCCCAGAAATTTGACTGTTTCAACCTCCACTGGCTGATATCAAGATCATGCACCACACCGAGCTTCTGTATGTGGATCAAATTCAGACGCTGATACATGGCAAGTTCTTGTGAAATGAGTTAACTCCCAATCCTATCACGAAGGCATCATATCTGCAGTGTGTGTGTGGCCCGGGGCTGAGGGTGGTACTCGACACACAATACCTACTCCCTAGAGTGGATGGCCAGGGTCTGATGGTGGGACTTAGCACATAGCACCTACTCCCTACAGTAGATAGCCTGTGTCTGAGGGTGATACTTAGCAAACAGCAACTACTCCCTAGAGTGGATGGCCAGGGCCTGAGGGTGGTACTCAGTACACAGTACCTACTCCCTAGAGTGGATGGCCAGGGCCTGAGGGTGGTACTCAGTACACAGTACCTACTCCCTACAGTAGATGGCCAGGGCCTGAGGGTGGTACTCAGTACACAGTACCTACTCCCTACAGTAGATGGCCAGGGCCTGAGGGTGGTACTCAGTACACAGTACCTACTCCCTACAGTAGATGGCCAGGGCCTGAGGGTGGTACTCAGTACACAGTACCTACTCCCTAGAGTGGATGGCACTGGTGGCAAGTCTAAGCTTTACCTGAGACTGAATCTGAGCTTGTCGTTTAACCCTAGACCACAATGGGCAGCACACAGGAGTCGGATTCCGCGTGATCTCTAGTGTGGGCTCCGGAAAGTATCTGAGAGATTAATCGGTAGACAGTCTTCAGTTTTCACAACCTCTGTGGCATCCCACGTGATCTCCACCAGTGGGACAAAGAGCCACACTGGGAAAGGGAAGGCACACTCTGGAGGCAGAGCCCTATAATCCGGGCATCCGACAGGGCGGGGCTTCCTCCTGCGTTTCCTGCCTGGCTCAGCAAGCCCTGCCACCCAGCAAGTAAAAACTGACAGGGAGAGACAGTTTGTCAGGATAGCTGATGGGTCATGGAGGCCAGGAAGGGAAGTGGCCACACCTGTGACAGACCCGAGACGAAGATCTAGAGAGATAAAAGTGTGGACACTGCCCCTTATATTCAATCATACAAATATGGTTAACATACCTGGGGTTTAACCCAGTTTAACCCCCTCATGTGTGTCCCTGTGTGTGTAAAGGAGGACATGTGTGTGTCCCACATGCGGAGGTCAAAGGAGACCCTCAAATGTCTGTCCTTATCTCCCTCCCTGTTGGAGGATCTCTGCACACCCCAGGCTGGATGCCCTGTGGCTCCCATGTATCTTGTTTCTGCCTCCCTCCTTCCTGCAGGAACACTAGGACATCAGATGTTTGCCACGGTGCCCCGCTTCCCTCGGGAGGCCCTGGGCTCCCGAACTGAGGGCCTCACCCTTGCACAGCTAGTGCCTTCCCCAGTGGGCCATCCCCCAGCCCCTGCTCCTGGGACCTCCTATGTGTTTTCTCTTTACCTTTTCACTGACGTCCGTAGCTTTCAGAACCACCTCTTCCATCACTAGCCTACAGGCTTCTTCAACAAATTTTTCTCCTGCTTTCACATCGGTTTGTGGTCCATTGAGTACAACCCCATCCACAAGGACAGGGCTCTTCTTACTAGAGGTCATCTCCTTCTGGACAGTACCTCCTAGGAGGGCACAAACAGGACGGACTTGAGAGCTCACACCACGACACACAGATAAAGAAACAGGACAGAGCTGAGACCCCACAAGTGGCGTACTTTCGTTTGTAAGTTTGTTTTCAGCTCTCCCATTGTATGCTGAGCTCTCCCATAAGTCTGCATTGTATGCTGGGCACATTCCCCCTCAGAGCCCCTGCCCCTCCTTGCCTGCCCCTCCCCCACTGCCGTCAGTCCTCCCTGTCACGTGTATATGTCTTCTTTCCACAGATGAAGGTACCATGTGGGGTGTCAATGCATGCTCACAGTGGCTCACATCAGGGAGTCCCCCAGAGCTCATGATACACAGGATAGGTGGAGCCATCTTACTGTGTGTACCCCTCCGAGCTGGTCTTTGCTGGCCCATGGAGCAGAGAGCCAACCCTTCAGGACTATGTCAAGTCTGGCTCCAAAACGCTGGCCCCGTGTCCAGTGCCCATGCTGAATGGCGAAGCTCAAATACAGTGCTGTCTGCAGCAGGGGATACCTTACAGAACATCAGCTCTCAAAGACAGTGAGATGCTTGGCTACATCCCCACGGGGTATAAATACGTCCCTTCCTTAGACGGATCCCTGCTCCCACCAGCAGAGTAGGAGTGGAGACAGGGAGTTGGCCACTTGGAGAGAGGGGAAACTGTGCTTCAATCCCCACCTGGAGTTCATTCTGTGCTGTGAGCCTCCTCTGGGGTTTTGTTTGTTTACTTGCTTGTTTGTTTTGAGACAGATCTCATGTAGCCCAGGTTGGCCTTAAACTTGCTATGCAGCCGAGGGTAACTTTGAACTATTGATCCTCCTGCCTCTGCCTTCTGGTACTGGGACTGGAGGTGCGTGCCACCATGAAATGGTTGATGCTGGAGAGAGATGCAAGCCAGGGCTCCGCGCATGCTATGACAGCCATTCAACCAACTTAGCCGTGTGCCCAGTCCTCATCCCTCAGCATGTGAGGCGTGTATTTGTTCAGCCTTTCAGAACCTGCTCCACTCAGCAGGGAAACCACGTAACGGGCACATGCCTCCCCCCCCCCCATGTAAACTCAGCACCCTTGGCCCTAGGCAGCAATGTTGTGCAGGGGTAAAGAAAAAGGCGCCGAGCCGCATGCATTGTTTTCCCAAGAAAGCAAAAATGCACTTTGAAATCGGCATACCAAATAGAATTTTACAAAAACCCATCTCATATTTGATGTCTCTGAATAAGAGATGGGGCCTGAAGGGTCATCCAGGCGTCTTGAAGAAAGTAAACCGTGAAATCTTCAAAGGCAGGGAACCAGCCAGGCTGGCTGAGCTAGCCACCAGCTCCATCAAGGACAGGCTCCATCAGCAGGCCTCTCTAAATGGAAGTGCCCCCATCCTTCCGGGGAAGGCTGCTCCTGGACTGCTCTCCCAGGGCCTACATTTCAAAGTCTTCTGGAAAGAAACTTTTTTTGCGTGTTTTGCTCAGTATATGGGAGTGCCATGGGGCCATCACTTCCCAAGACATATTATCAAACACAGGCGAGATGACCCGTATAAGCCGGACATGCTGGTTCATGCACTTGGGAAACGGAGGCAGAGGGATTTTTAGGAATTTGAGGCTAACTCATGAGTTCCCAACCAGCTAGGACTACAGGATGAGATTATGTATTGAGGGAAGCAAAAACAGAAGGATGGAGGGAGGGAAGGAGGAGAGAGGAAAGGGTTCATTTGGCTTAAACTTCCAGGTCACTGTTCATCACTGAAGGAAGTCAGAGCAGGAACTCACACAGGGCGGGAACTTAGAGGCAGGAGCTGATGTAGAAGCCAAAGAGAGGTGCTGCTTGCTGGCTGCTCCCCATGGCTTGCTTAGCCTGTTTTTGTTTGTTTGTTTGTTTGTTTGAGACTGGGTTTCTCTGTGTAGCCCTGGCTGTCCTAGCACTGTAGAACAGCCTGGCCTTGTCACAGAGATCTACCTGCCTCTGCCTCTGCCTCCCAGGTGCTGGGGTTAAAGGTGTGCACCACCACTTAAGGCCTATTTGTTTTTATTTTATGCAGATGGGTATTTTGCCTGCATGTATGTCTGTGCATGCAGTGCCCAAGGAAGCCAGAAGAGGGTGCCAGGTCCCCTGGGAGTGGCGTTACAAACGGTTGTGAGCTGCCCTGCAGTGCTGAGAAGTGAACTCAGATTCTCTGCAAGAGCAACAGCTGCTCTTAAGGACGAGCCCTCTCTAGCCTCTAGCCCCCATCATCCTCAAGGAAGAAGGAAACACACAAACATGTCGTCATTCACCTTCATTTTACCTCAGAAGACCTGGTTTAAAGAACTCTGCATCAAAAGCACCGTGCTGTCCCCAAGAGCCCCTTTCTACCCCCACAGCCCATCTCCCAGGGAAGATTAAATGCCTGACGGAAGGGCTTGCACCACTCTGTCTTCTGTGCCTTCAACCTTTCACAGGCAGGACCTGAACTGGCTCAGACTGTGCAGCTGGACACGTGACTGGTGACTCAGTCAACCTGGAAATTCATATCTGGGGAGACTGGCTGCTTACCCAGTACAGCCTTCCAGTGAAATCACTCTGGGCACAACCCAGATATCTAAAGCTTATTTACCGAAAGCTCAGATTTGATCACGTTCTCTTTCCCTAGATACACACCCTCCCTTCTGTTTATAATCCCAGGGTTCAGTTAGCTGTGGAAATTTACAGAAACAATTTCTAAAAGGCAGTCTCAGCCCTGGCCCTTCCTGAGCAGCTCACATTCCAAATCCACCTAAATATGCTCACATGGTCTATTGTCAACATTCCCTAAAATGCATGTGTTTTTTTAAATATTTTCTATGCTTCCTTCCTGGATGCTCAAACAATATCCTCATTTATTTACTTAGTATACCTTAGATAACTTTTTCTCAAAAGTTCAATGTCCTGATAGAATTCTGTGGCCAGTAATTGGTGCCATTACTGACAGAGATAGCACATGACTTTGTCTTGGGCAGATATCTGGAGTATGGGGGGGCAGTCTGCAATTCTAAGCTCTACCTCCATTACCCAGGAAAGTCGGGGGGGTTGCCAGATCCTTCCATGCCCTCCACCTACCCTCTGCTTGAAAGCATGTGGTGAATACAGGTGAGGGCAAACTGAGGGAAGCCAGTGGGGAAATGTTTTACATGGAAATACCTTTCAAGGGAAGGAACGTTCCCCTCAGGGAAAAAAAGAAAGTTTTCTAGGTTTTAAAAATAAAATGGGAAAGAGGGCAATTATTCCGGGAACTGTGGTTATGTCAGAAGGTACTGCTATTATTAAACACACAGGAAAAGTGGGCTTTTTTCAACCTCATTAGTGGGATTTCTGGCTTTTATTGCCCAGGGATAAAGAGTAGTTCTTTAGCTCTCCTAGGCACTCTCTCTCTCTCTCTCTCTCTCTCTCTCTCTCTCTCTCTCTCTCTCTCTCTCTCTCTCTCTCTCTCTCTCTCTCTCTCTCTCTCTCTCTCTCTCTCTCTCCCTCCCTCCTTTCCTCCCTCTTCCTCCCTCCCTCCTTCCCTCCTTTTCTCTCTCATGAAAAAATGTCAAACACCCACTCACAAGCAGAACAGTGTAGTTCAAATCGTCACCACTCTCACTGATCTGTCCTCCACAGACTTGGTTAGGAACCTTGTCAAGAACAGGCTGGTGAGCATGGCTGCTCTGCCTCTGCTTCTTATTCTGCTGCTGGTTGGGACAATGCGCTTCTCCCGCATGTATCCAGGACAGACACACCCCTGACATCTCTGATAGGCTGAGTCAAGGCTGTGGCAGAAGCCTGTTCAGGATTTCCTTCCTCCCTGGCACAGTTGATCAGGTTAATAAAGAACTTCACGTCAGGGGAAGGCCTGGCTTGTGAAGAACATGCCCAGGAAGAGAGGCCCAGTCCTTCCACCTGAGGCCTGACCATCCTCAAGGCCTTGGGTCACTGCTGTTGCCCCCCCAGCCTCGCCCGGCTCTATGGTTGCTCTCCATACGGCAACCCCGACGTTCCTGTGAGGAGACACTGACCACGTGTGCTAAGAGGTTCATGACACCCCATTGGCTCAAAGTCAGTCAGCGTGCTCATGGTGGCCTCCCTGGCCCCACATGACCCCTGTCCCTGTTTCAGACTTCGCACCTCACTATTGTTTTTCAAGCTCACCCCCGTTTCGTTATCAACTCCTCCAGTGTCCTGCAAGTCTTCCCTCGAATGTCAGTTTCTCAGAGTGGTGTTTCTTGACCCCAGATGCCATAGCAACCGCCTGTCTCTGGCTGCCTTTTTCTTCCTTGACTCACAAGCTATGTGTGAAGGCTGTTGGGTGTTACTCTTCTCTTCAAGTTAATTTCCCCTTCAGTGCTTGGACTACTCCAAACCACTCTCAGTCAAGGACTCACAACCACATCCCTCACACGTCTGCACGTCTCCCTGCCCCTTAACTGCTTGTCTTCCAGCACCCCACAGAAGCTCAACGTTTGCTTTGGTAAGAGATCTCTCCTTGCTCAAAATATGACAAATCCAACCTAAGTCCCACTACAGATAGAAATGGCCCATCATTTCACAGAGGATCAAATGTACCAATAGACACAAAGCCTGAAAACAGTCAGAGGCACACATCGGGCACTCTGTAAATGTCAGTGGACACCACCTGTCACAACAAAGGTGAGCCGGTAAAAGGAGGTCACGGTCGTATTTAAACGTACAAACACACAGGATAGATTTACATGTGTTGTTAGGCTGTGACCAAGGCAGGAAGGTTTTCTCAAAGAGTAAGAAAGTGCTTGGTGAGGTGCTCAAAGGCAGAGGATGCCCACGTGAAGGAGGCAGAGGATGCCCACGTGAAGGAGGCAGAGTTTCTGCACGAGGCTCGGGATCCAAGATGGCAGAGGAGCTTTCCCACCTACTTAGGACAGGCATCTGTGCATGAATGCCATCTTGTCACTTAACTGTGGTTGTGCAGAGGCTTAACTTCCTGTTCTAGATCACAGACGCCCCCGGGGAGAGATCCATGTGTGATTTTCCT